AATTATACAAATACTATAAAATAAAGTTAATTTATTAATTCAGCAATTGTTTAAACAAATAATTGTTATTTACTAACTTTTTACACAATAATCAACCTAGAAACTAGCAGTTTTGCTTCCTCATAAAGGAAGCTTTGTATATTAGCAAAATTTTGGATTGTCATTTTTTGACATATTTATAAATTTTTTTTTATTATGCCTAATACTTTAGTACTTTATGTATGCACAGGAACTCCCCTTATAAATGTTCTAAATAAATAAAAAAAAATTTCGACGTATTTTGACCTCCGAAGTCCAAAAAACGGATTTTAAAAATTTGTCCCGATGTGTGTGTGTGTGTATATACTAACATTACATTTGCCTCAATATCTCAGAACGAAAAAAAAGCTAAAGGCCTCAATTTTTTTTTAAATTGTAGGTCTCCTCAGGGGACATAAAATGAGAGTATTTTTAGCTTGATTCATGAAATTTAACTATTTTTTTTTTGCATTTTTCATTTTGTAAAAAAACGTTTTTTAGACATAACTTAAAAAAATGTTAGGACACTTATAAATCTTTTTCTTTAGTTTTGTAGAGTTTTTTCACACGCATCTTTTGAGCTTTAATTGAACATTTTTCGTCCATATTAACCGGAGATATTAAACTTTTAAAAATCAAAAATTTTGGAAAATAAGACTTTTTTAAAAATTTGGTTAAAAAATGTAGAAGTTTAGTTTTGTTTTGTATTTAGTTTTGTAGAGTTTTTTCAGACGCTTCTTTTGAGCCCTAATTGAACATTTTTCGTCCATATTAACCGGAGATATTAAATTTTTAAAAATCTAAAATCTTTAAAAATAAGACTTTTATAAAAAATTTTTTTAAATTATGTAAAAATAACTTCAAAAAAATATTACCAACTTGAAGAGCATTAAAAACGCTTCGATTGACCTATTTTTTAACCTGATTCGGGCAGAAATTTTAAAATTATTGGTATTTGAAAAATCAAAAATTGTGGAAAATATCATTTTTTCAACATTCTTGTTTATTAACTTATGTGTAATTATTAAACTATTATTACCATCTTATAGAATATATAAAAACACATTTTTTGGACCAAGATTTAATGATTTTTAACCTTTTTATAAAAAGTAATTCTTATATTTCAATTATTATTATTTCTATGAGGAAGCAAAGTGTTCATGAAATGAACACCAAAATTATAAAAATGTATAACTTGGCAGCGGTTTTTTCTAATTTTGCAATAAGTAAATACTCAGATTAGTTAATTGCAAAATTTTAAAAGACTACAAGTGTCTAGACGCATTATTGTCTTAAGAATTAATAAATAACAACAATTTTTTATTTAAACAAATGCTGAATTATTGTTAAAATTATAAATTATCTTCATATTATTTCACTACTCAAGTGTAATAATCGCGAAGTTAGATAAGAAACTGCAAATTTTTAAGTAATTTGTTACAAAAGTTAATAAAACAGCAAAATTTATATATTTTTTTAAACAGATACAGACTGCAATATAATTATAATTATAATTAATATAATTGAAAGCTTGCACTTTTACCTGTTAAATAAAATTTAAATTAGACATTTAGATTAAATAACCAGTTCACAGTATGACTTTTTCACGACCTCTGCATTTGTTACTTTCCTCCTAACCCCCGAGGAGGAAAGTAACAGCACATAGGATGGAGGAAAGTAACGTTATAGAATTATGGCTAATTTTACAATTTGAAGACTATTATTATTTAAAAATATTTTTATTATGAACTTAGAAAAATACAAAGATACTTAGAGTACAAATTGTACACGTTTGGCACAAATTTAATACATATTTAACACATTATGGTACATTAGTGTCTTCTAGATATTATCTTCTTATCCATATCATAGATAAAGCATCTAATTCCCAAAGTTTCGTACGTGCAATATTAAATTATTAAAATGTGTAACAAAAATACTAAGTCTTCAGTTTAAGTTAAATTATTAATAATTAATAATAAAGTAATAGCTTTCACTACTTCAGGAGTAACATAACACTCTTGAGGCGACATAGAGGCTAATTGTTGATAATTTGTTTTGGGAAAATGAAAAAAGAAATAGGATTTCTTTTTGGAGGGTTTGTTAAATACATATTGAAATATAAAAAAAAATTATTTAAAATTTTAAAACCAAATGGCGGCGATAAATTTCATAGACAAAATCGACTATTTTCTTATGACCAAAATGCGAGCCAAAATGTCAGGACAATTTTTTTTAAAGTTTATAAGTCCTGAAACAGAAAGAAATTTAATGATCTATATAATATAAACTTTGGTAGCACATATGGGATTTTTTATATTAATTCTTATAAAAATTGCGCACTTTTTGAGTAAAATAATCGATTTTTTGCCCAAAAATAAACAGTAAATTCTTTACAAAATATAAAGTTTACATTGTGATTTTTCAACTTGAAAGTTGAAAAATCTATATGTACTTCCAAATTTTATAGTAAGCAGATTATAAAATTTTTTTGTTTTTTCTTCTATGACTTAAACTTTTCAAAAAAGTATTCTGGCCGTAAAAATAGTCGATTTTGAACATAAAAATTTACCGCCGCCATTTTGTTATATAATGTAAACAAAAAGTTTTTTTTCATAATTCAATAAGTATTTAATAAACCTTCTAAAAAGAAATCCTATTCCATTTTTAATTTTCTCAAAACAAATCATCAAATATATAGGTCTCATTTTCAGCCTCTAGAGTGTGTTACCCCTTAAAAAAAGGAGCCAAATTTTTCATGTTTCATATTTTTGTCATATTAAACAAAATAAACAATAAAACATTAATCTTTTAAAACATGAAAATAATTTTACCTATATTGCAATTCGAATGTGGGCTGACCCACCCAGGTCCAACCCAGGACCTACCTGGGCTTCCTAGTTTCATTAGCAAAAATTTCTAAGTCCAAGTCTAAAAAATTTTTTGCGACAAAAAATTAATGCTTAAAATGATTTAGAATAATGAAAAACGTGTTTTTAACATAAATTTTTTTGACATTTTCTTAAAAAGTGGATCACCCGCTTAATTAATTAGGAAAAATTTCCAAGTCAAAAAGACGAATATTTTTTTTAGACCAAGAAATTAATGTTAAAAATGATTGAGAACAATGAAAAACCTGTTTTTAACGAAAATGTATAGATATTTTTTTTCTTGATATAATATAAAAATATTAATTTTTGAATTTTTATATTTGGATATTATTTTATTATTATTGTTGTTGTTGTTAAACTATTTTTTTTATTTATTATCGTGTATTAGTGTCAATAATTACTATATTGAATCATCAAAAGCAAGTCCACAAGTCACTGACAATAAAAATTTTGATCTCAACTAGTTTCATTAGCATAGTGGTTAGGGCGTTAGTCTCGTAGTCCGTAGGTCGTAGGTTCGATTCCCGCGTGCGTTAGATTTTATTTACTTCTTAGGTTTGCGTTTATTCCGATTTTTCTGCATTGTATTCGTATAAGTATGCAATTTAATGATTATATATACTGTAAAATAATTTAATTAACAAATTTCTAATTATTTTATAATTTTTAATGTATATATTAGAGGAATATTTATTAATCTCTACATATACTAACATTATTTATGAATTCGCTTTTGGTCATCATTTAATTGAAAAAAATAATAATTAATTAAAACTAATACTTATTATTAATAATTTAGGTTATTTCTTTAGCAAATATTATAAACTAATTAAAATTATAATAAAATATATAAATAAACTGGTCCTAACTATAGGCTCCCAAGTTAGGACCAGGCTAGAATCGCATCACCAGCCATTGTTGGTCCAACCTACACTGCCAACCTAGGACCAAGCTATTAACAGGGCAAAATAGGTAGGACCTGGCTAGGACTAATTTTCATTTTCCACACGGGACGCTCTAAAATATTAGTCAATGGAAAATTTTTAAAATCTTCTCTTAGGTTAATCGTTATAGGTAAAAATAATACTTTATAATTATTTTGCACTGAAGTCATCATTTGTTAATGCTTTAAAAATATTTTCTACGCACCGAAGTCATCACTTGTCAAAATTAAATTTTCACTTTTTGAATCATTTTCAAATATAAGTTGATATAGAGAATTTTTTCAGAAAGTTTTTTCTACTAAAGTTATCACTATTTGTCAGAATTAAATTTTTACCAACATTTTAGGTTGTCAAAATAAAATTCTTTACTTTTTACATTTGAAATTGTCTGTTATTAATAAACGAATTTGAAAAACATATTTAAAATAATTTTTATATGTCAATATATTATTTAATAACATTTATTATCAAAGTTATCACTTGTCCAACTGAAATTGTTATACTTATACGTAGGTACATTAAAACGACCTTTAATGGAGAATTTTGTAAGACTTATATTTAAAATGAACAATAATTTCTAAAATATTATGTTCTTTAGACAATTTTATTGATATATCTATATGTAAAAGTAATATTTTGTAGATATTTTATAACAAAGTCATCACTTGTCCTTGATGAATATATTTGAACATAAATAAAGTATGTGCGAAGAAATGTTCACAAGCCTTATAATAAATGACTTTTATTTTTTTCAGCAAAAAACCCTCAAAATTTATCTATTATAAATTTTTGAATCTCAGGTAAAATATGTCTTTTTCGTTTTCAATAAATAATTTTTATACTGAAATACAAAACTTTCGAAAAATACCAACATCGATTTTTATTTTCAGCTTCAATCTGTTCCTAACAACACTAGCGCTCCAGCGGAAAAAATGTTGCAACTCAGGTGAGTGATGTCATTTTAAGGCTGGAGTCCCATGGTAGCGTTTTGCGTTGCGTTTTGTAACTATAGGCCATGAGTGCAGATAGAGCAAACATATATCTGTATCTCTCTCACACTCATGGCCTAGTTACAAAACGCAACGCAAAACGCTATCATATGGGACTCCAGCCTAAAAATATCGGAATTCAAAAAAGACAATTTGTTTTTTCTGCCTATAAAAAAAACAAATTTCCGCCTTAGATACCCGCCATAGTTAAGCCAATAAATGTTAACCTTTGAAACGAATAATATGAAGAAAAAAAAAATAAGTAACCACCTTAATCTGTAATAATAAAAATAAATTGTCCCCTCTCACATTCTCACCTTGTAAAATGTCACGACGTGAATAAAAAAAAGAAGAAGCAGAAGAAGTTAACAATATTCGGAAAAAAAGAGGCAAAGGTGTCAGCTGTCAGAGGTCAAGAGAGATAGTAGCCCTAACAAAGATCTCGAGGATCTTAATGAAGACATCTTTTGAGTTATCCCAAGAAAGAAGGCACACCGTTTCAAATCATCCGCACAATGGACCAAAGTTGGCGCGGCGGTTAAGGTAGTGCCGCGACCAGATCGACGCATAATGGAACCAGCTTTGTTGCTTCCTGAAAAGAGAAGACGATTCCATGCCATTGGTGTGTGCTGCACAGGTCTAAGGCAATGTATACATATACATATATACACTCGGGGGATGAGGTTTGGTATGGAAACTGGTCCTTGTTCACTGCCTTGTATTCTCTGAAACGAGAGAACCATTCCGTATATATACTCAACCATAGTCGCGGAACCAAACGCGTGAAAAGGATTTCACAGAAAATTCGAACACGATGGGTGTTGGCATTTATGGTTTCGGTCCGTTTAGCAGATACCTGTATATATGTATATATGTATATATATATACATATATATGTATACGCACCAATATACAACTCTACCTGTTCGCCTCTCTTGTCCATAACGGATTCTTCGAACCAGAATCTCCACTCGCGAATTCAAAAAGCGATACTGATAGGCCTATCGCACAAATTCATGAAACTATAGACGCTTAATGATCGCAATAAATTTCCCCTATCTGCGCTGACAAAATGTTTTCTGCTATGCACCAAATAAAAATTCCCAGCCACCTGCAAACCTGTAATAGAGAAATTATTTTCAACAAAAAGTATTTTATCCACTTTCAACATATGTGACCTGGTCTATGAAAAGGGACCTTACGTGTCAAAAAATCATTTTTTACTTTTTTATTGATTCGGATAGGGTTTGAAACGCTCTTTAAGATGGTGAAAACCAAAAAATCATAAGTTGATTAGAAGTTTTAAAAAAAAATTTTAAAGTCAGAAGAAACAAGAGTAAAAATACGAAAAAACTGATTTTTTGTTATTATACAAATTAAAATAACGAAGACGACAATTTTTTATTATTTAGAAAAGTTGACAGTTTCTTTGACAACTGTCAACAGTTAAAATTCAAATTTGATATCATATTCGTAATCAGCGACCTCAAAAACCTTATTACTGTCTTTTTTACAAAAAACGATTACTTTTTAGAGAAGTCAACTGTCAAATTGTCAATTTAACATCATATTCGTAATCAGCGGCCTCGAAAACCCTTACAAACATGTGTCACTTATTTATACTTATTGTTGCTAGTTAGAAAACTTAGATTATTTTTTCTATGTTTGGGGAGTTTGTTATTAATTTATATAAACAATTATTAAAAAAAAATTTTCATTACTTGTATGTTTTTTATTTTGATACTGTGATTCACGGTGAAGAAAATAAGCCTAACTTGATTAAAAAATATTAATATTTAAAAAAGTTACAAGGGTTTTTCTAAGTTAAACTTTAACTGCTGTTTTCTCGAAAACTTGTTTTCGCACGTAAGGTCCCTTTTCACTGTCCAGGTCACATATACCAAATAATAATAATAATGATTTCAATACCAAAAAAAGAAATTTTATTTCATGTGAAAATGGAAATTACAGAAAAAGTAGAGAACTAAAAAAAAGTAAAGAATATTTAGAGGTTATGAATTAATCTTTATTTACTCAACAGTCGATTTTCGATACATATCGAATTCCGATCAATGTGATTGGTTAACTTCCTTGCCACGATTCACAGAATGAGCCAAAAGGAGTACTTTAAAAAACATTATATAAATGATATACAAAAGTGATATTAGATGATTTTCTTTAACTTAAATAAATTTGTAAGCTTTATTCCAATATATAGAAAATATTAAAATTTATTTCACTAAAAAGTATTATTTGTTTAAATAAATATATTTAAGGAGAAAGTACACCGCTATTTTTAACAACATCGAGAAAATAATTTAAATATTCCACAAAATTATTTTTAAGGTAATTTTTTTGGGAAATTCAATGGTGAGAAAATCTTTTAGCACTTTTTCAATTTTTATTTTTCTTAAAAATTTGTAAGTAAATTTTGATATCCCCGCGTGCAATTTTGTAGAAAATATGTTTTTGAATCGACTAAAAAATTTTTTTTTATCATTTTTTAAGCATTTTTTTTATATCATTGTTTTTAGGCTGAAAATACTAAAAAATACTATAATTGTTCCATTTTTTTTGTTATGAAAATTAATTTGTTTATTTTTCTAACCAATTTCAGATCATAATTTTTATATATAAAAAAAAGAAAAAAATTAGGATAAAATAATAATTTGAAATTAGTTAGAAAAATAAATTAAAATTGGTATAACAAAAAATACAATGGTATTTTTTAACATTTTCAGCCTAAAAGCAAAGATGTTTTTTTTAAATTGCTTCAAAAATTATGAAAATCAATTTTTTGTGGATTCAAAAACATATTTTCTACAAAATTATGATTTCAATATCCACCAATTTTTAAGAAAAAATAAAAATTCAAAAAGGGTAAAAAAAGGTGTATACCCTCCCACCCCTTGCTTAAATTATTGCCAAATGAAGAAATTGATTTTCATAAGTTTTGAAGCATTGTTTTGGAACAAAAATGTTTGTTTTTGAGCTAAAAATATTAAAAAATACTATTATTATTCAATTTTTTTGTTATGAAAATTCATTTCTTTATTTTTCTACAACTAATTTCAGATCATAATTTTTATTAAAAAAAAATACAGAACGCAAAAAAATTAGGATAAAATAATGATTTAAAATTAGTTAGAAAAATAAACAAAATTTGTTGTCTAAAATTACGTATGGATTTCAAAATCCACGAATTTTTAAGAAATATAAAAATTCAAAAAGGGTTAAAATATTTTCGAACAGTTTTTATTTTATGACCATTGAATTCCTCACAAAAAATTACTTTAAAAATAATTTCGTGGAATATTTAAATTATTTTCTTAATATATATAATTAAAAATAACGTATACCTCCCCTTCATTTAAATATAAGTTTTTTCTGTTTTGATTTAAAGAAAAAACGCGTGTTTTAAAATTTTATGTTTGATTTAAACCTAAAAAATTATTATAAATAATTTAAAATCAACGACAAATTATGTTTAAATTAAATATATTACTTCTTAAAATGAATCAAAAATATATTGTTCAAATAGCAAAGATATTTTAAGTCCGATTTAAAAAAAATTGTTTGAATCAAATAAATCGTTTTCTCTGTGTAGTAATAAACTTTTCCTTTCTTGTTTAAATTGCACTAATAATGATGTGCATTGTTGAGGATTACGTAAGCTTTTTAAACTTAAAATCTTTTCAGGTAAGGTCCCAGAAATCCGAAAATCTGATTCCAAGATTTAAAAGTTACCTGAATATAAAGGGATTTTACACCAAGGGCATTTAAACTTAAAGAAAAGACATTGCTCTCTCACTATGCGCCTGATTTTTATCTGCATTTCTATATTATATATACACCATTTTGGAAGGAAAAGATATAGGAAAGAAATATAGAGTCTTTAGTAGAAATGTCTATTATTTCAGTAGAAGATAAATTTATGTTATTTTCTAATAGCTAGATACACAAAAGTTAGGAAAATAATTTTTATTACTTTTTACAACTTTACAAATAAAAAAGTGAAATGAAACCTTAAATTTTTTCCCTTACTGCTGCTGTATTTTTCTTATCTTCCTATTTCAAGGAACTTTGATATTAGAAGAAAAAAATTAAATATATTTGAGTTTCTCTTTTGACTTGCGTAGTATAACTCGAAGATGAATTTAACCAATCAGATTGATATTGGAATTCGATATATCGAAAATCGACTGTTGACTAATTGGACGTAACCTCAAAAATTACCCTGTTTGTTTGTTTTTTTTTGTTTGGAAAGATTATTAATTTTTACTTATTAATAAGTGAATTTATTATAAAGTAACACAACTAAAATTCACTGTAAACAAAATAATTTATTTTCGTAACATTCGTAAAACGACTTAAACGCAATTTTTGCATGTTAGAAAACTGACACGATTGAAACTAGAGGGCAAGATTCATGTCTACTTATGCGTGGAGAAGGGGGATGTATAAATTTATTGCTTTGGGCAACAACTCACGATGTTGTCAGTTTCAATGGAAGAAAATTGTAAATACAGAATTAGATCTCGTAGATGTAAACATAAAGCTACATTATTTCACGGTTAATAAATTCCATGATTTTCAATGATTATTTCCTTAGTCTTGGATTTTAAAATAAAATAAATAAATTATTAACAATATAAAATTAATATACCTTAAGGGCGGAGTCTGGCCAAACAAAGGGTTTTTTCAAAAGTGTTTTTTCTAATGATATAATATATTCTTATTAACTAATATTATTTTACATAAAAGGGAACCCCCCCTTAAAGTAAAATTTATTTTCTCCTAAAAAGAATTAATACACAAAAGTTCAATTTTTGTAGAATATTACGAATATTTTTCCACTGAGTTTCCTATATATCCAGTAACAAAGACCTTAATTCTGCCTGCCAATAATCTTACCCGCCAAATTCAAATGACTCAAATTATGTTGGAAAATTTGTTGAATTATTGAAATAATAATAATTATTATTAATATTAAAATTTTTAACTCATCGTGAGTTGTTGCCAAAAAGTTTGAAAAGCCAATAATTCGATTCTAATAGTCAACAAGTAAAATTCAACTCACTCTCTCTAGATTCGTTTCGTCATTATTTCCGATTTTGAAGATAAACCGTATTCTTTAAAACATTGTAATACGAATAAAGAATCGTAAAATTTCCATGCAACGAGATTGTGTTTATCATGTTACACAGCTGTTGAATGTTTTTCTTTCTCAACAAATAAAAGCGAGAAAATTGATTTCCACTCTCCGAAAACCTCGTAATGTAACGTTCAAATTAAGTGGAACTAATTCCATCCTACGCTGGGTAAAAAATTTTTTTTCCAAAATTCTGTGTGTGAATGAACGGTATTTATTAGAAAAAAACCGAACGCGTATAATATACCTGAGGGAGAAAAACTAACACACAATCAATGTAGCTCGGAGTAAAATGCGTTCCATTCGACAGACAAATTTTATGGTTGTGGTTCCATTATTATTTGTACTTGAATAAAGTCGTGATAGTTTTCAATCCATAGCCAGTCGAGTAAATCATCTTGCCCACAATAATAACCATGAAACAAAACAATTATACAGTAGGAGCTTTAACAATATTTGATAAAATAACTTGAATTTAGTGTATTTAATTATATAATAAAGATATTTTTCTTTAAAGTTATCACTTCTCCAAATCAAATTTTTTATTTGTATGAGTTAAAATTTTAGTTAGTCGAGAATTTTGTAAAATTTCTTTGAAATCCATATGAAAAAATGAAAGAAAAATATTTTATAGCCATTTTTTATAGAAGTCATCACTTGTCTAAGCCAAGTTATTATAGTTAATATTAACATTTATTGTTAACATATACATATATACATTATCATTATGTCAAGAGGGAAATTATAATTCCATAAAAGTAAATTTCAAATTAAGAATTCTCAAACTTAGTAGTCGAATATAAAAAATTATTGATAAGGTAATATAAAAGAAATTTCTTGACAAAGTTATCACTTGTCCAAATCAATCTTCAATTTTTACTATATAATAAAATTAAAATTACTGAAGAATTTTGTAAAGTGTATTTCGAAATTTTTATACTTAAACACAATCTTTTATTATAATCTT